TAATGACTCCGAGATCCCTTTCCGCCTCTGTGCTTTCAAGAGGGGAACCCCCCAGCCTGTATGTGTGCTGTGGATTCCTTCTCCCAAGGTGCAGCACCCTGCATTTGTCTACGTTGAACCCCATCCTATTCTCATCTGCCCACTTTTGTAGTCTGTCTAAATCTAGTTGCAGCCTCTCTCCCCCTTCAAGTGTGTCCACCTCGCCCCACATCTTAGTGTCATCAGCAAACTTGGACAGTGTGCTTTCCACCCCCTCGTCCAAGTCGCTGCTGATGATGTTAAACAGTGCAGGCCCGAGGACCGAGCCCTGGGGTACCCCACTGCTCACATCTCACCAGGCTGAGTACAACCTGTCCACCACTACTCTCTGGGTGTGCCTCATCAGCCAATTTTTTACCCATCCAACTGTGCAGGCATCAATGCCACAGTCACTTAATTTATTGATGGGGATGGGGTGAGAGACAGTGTCAAAGGCCTTCTTAAAGTCTAGAAAGACTATGTCCACGGCAACACCATCATCCAAGGTTTTAGTTACTTGGTTGTAAAAGGCAATCAGGTTGGTCTGGCAGGACCTGCCTTTGGTGAACCCATGCTGATTGCCCCTGAGCATGATCTGCCCTGCAGGCCCCCCACAGATGTGCTCCTTGATGATCCTCTCCGAGATTTGTTCTTAGCAAAAATTGATTTGTTCTTAGCAAATCCACATGGCTGCTTGTGACCAGCTGCTCCTCTTCCAGCTGCTTACAAGTTTGCTCTAGGAAGTTCCTGGATGTTGCAGCCAGGCTGATGTCTTCAAATTCCCCAGGTCTGTTATGTCAGTCTGGGATGTGGATGGAAATACCCCTCTAACACAGGGGTAGGCAATGTTTTTGGCTGGAGTGCAGAAAAAAAACCCTCAGTGACTACCTTGGAAGGTGCTGGAGTGTTGGCATGCCAGAAAAACAAAATGAGGGCAGGGGGTACATATCAGGATGCCCTGCTCGTGCCCCTTGCCCCCCACTCAAAGGTCCTGCCCCCCAGCCCTACTCATCCCCCTTGACCCCCCCAACCCAAAGGCCCTGCCCCCCAGCCCAGGTGGCTATCAGAAGCTACCCAGAACCTGAGCCAGCTGCAGCTGGGAGGCTGCAAACAGCTGTTGCCTCCTTGCCCTGGCCCTGGCCCTGGCCCTAGCCCCCAGCTGACTCGCAGCCCCAGACCCGGGCCCGAGCTCCGGGGAGGCAGCATATACTGGTGATGCTCCCTTCTGTGCTGCCCTCACTGCCGCTTATTCAGAGCAGCATTGGAACCCAGTGCAGCAGGGCACAGTGGGGGGCACAGCAAGCTGCCTGCCACTCTAAGCTCCCCGCTGCCCTGGCCACACTTCCCCTGCAGGCAGGGGCAGCAGCGAGGGACACAACCCTGCGTGCTGCCCACACTGCTCCCATGCACACAGCAGAAGCGTGACCCAGCAGGACGGAGCATGCAGCAGCAAACAGCTTCTCTGCGGCCCCTCTGTGTGCTGCCACTCCAGGTCATACACTGTGCTCCCAGCACTGCTGCTCTCTCCTGGGCCTTCCAGAGCACAGCGTGTGTGACCCAGAGCAGCACGGCACAGAGGAGATGCACAGGGAAGCTGCCTGCTGCAAGCTCTGTGCTGCTGGGTCACACTTCCCCTGTGTGCACAGGAGCAGCGTGGGAAGCACTCAGGGTTGTGCCCCTCACTGCTGCCCCCGCCTGCAAGGGAAGTGCGGCCAGGACAGTGGGGAGCTTGGAGCGGCAAACAGTTTTCTGTGGCCCCCGCTGTGCCCTGCCACACCGGGTTCCACATGTCACTTCTGGGCAAGGGCAGCACAGCGGGGAGCATCACCAGTATTTGCTGCCTCCCTAGAGCCCAGGTCCAGGTCTGGGGCTGGGAGGCAGCAGCTGCTTGCAGTCTCTCAGCTGCGGCCGGCCCAGGTTCTGGGTAGCTGTTGATAGACACGGAGCCCGGGCTGCTCCCAGCAGGACTTTCATCCTCCCAGCCAGCTGCTGGGAGCAGCCCGGGCTCCGTGTCTATCAACAGCTACCCAGAACCTGGTCCGGCTGCAGCTGAGAGGCTACAAACAGCTGCTGCCTCCCCACCCCCGGCCCCAGCTGTCTCCTGGCCCCAGGCTCCGGGAAGGCAGCAGGCGCCCATTGGAGCCAGGCCAGGGCGGGGAGGCAGCAGATGTTTGTAGCCTCCTGGCTGCAGCCAGCCCAGGCTCTGATGTAGCTTCTGCCAGCCACGGTGCCCAGGCTGTTCCCAGAAGGGCTTGCAGCCTCCCAGCTGCCTGCTGAGAGCAGCCCGGGCTCCTGGCTAACAGCAGCTACCCAGAGCCAGGGCTGGATACAGCCAGGAGGCTGCAAACAGATGCTGCCTTTCAAGCCCCAGCACGTGCCGAGGAAGATGGCCTTGCATGCCATGCTTGGCACATGTGCCAGGGGTTGCCAACCCCTGCTCTAACATCTTCTCCCATCTCTTCCTATTCCCACCCTCAGTCCAGGCAGCTAGAGGGACTGGAGCAAATGCTTTGTATGATATAGGGTGCAGGGTTGTGGGGCGTGAAGGACAGATGAAAGTTGAGGTTGGTCTTCTGCTGTTCAGCAGACTTTCTCTGCTTCCCAGGGGACCCTGAGGCTGCTCTTAGTGGCAGCAATCATTAGCAGAGCTCTGTGTGCTCCCCAAACTCAGGGAGCACAGAGCCAGCCCTGTTCCCAAATGTGGCCTTCTAGCTAGTGAGCCTGCACAGACATCTTTGCTCATGCTTGAGTGTGTGCACTGGGAGACTGGAGTCTCCACAGGCCTCATCCCTCTGTTTTGGTCACTTGTTGACCCTGTGGCCACTTGCGTATTAGCTCTGGGTCCATGTTCAGTTCCCCTTGGGGCAGCCCAGATGGCAGCCATCACAGGAGCACCCACAGTGGGCCTTGCAGAAGAGAGGATGTTCGGAGGGCATGTGGGGCATCCATCCACAGGCCCAAGCCTTTCCTGGATTTCCCCCCTGGCTGCAAGATGAAGGTTTTGCTTTTTGCTTTTGAATTTGGGCCGTCTATCCCCACCATGATATGGTCTGGCCCCAGTTCAGGTGGGAAACAGGCGCATTCACATGCAAAGGGGATGTTTCTGGTCATGGAACCACCTTGACTCCTGTGGCCGATGCTCCTGCCTCCTGCAGCTGAGGACCAGGCCCCTAGATCTGTAGGGAGGTGTGGGTCCTAGTCCCTTCTCTTCCCTGGTGGGGTTTCCCTCTTCAGTGCAGATACTAGGAAGAAGTTGTTGGATGATTGACCACTATGCCCTTCTCTGTTTTCAGCCAGAAAATCTCCACCCTGCCCTTCTTGCACTGCTGCCTGCCCAGACAACTGGCCTGGATATCAAGGGAAGTGTTTTCTCTTCTCAGACACAGAAGAGTCCTGGAACTCGAGTCAGAGCAACTGCTCTTCGCATGGAGCCTCCCTGGCTGTGATTGACTCCCTAGATGACTTGGTAAAGAAGAAATAAGTAAACATTTACTGTAACCAGAGCCAAAAATGTTGTAGCCAAACAGTTTACTATCCCAGAGCCAGCAATTTCCTGCAAGCCCAAGATCCAGACAGCAAATGCTCTGAGCAAATGCTCTCTGGAGCTGGTAAAGAAATGGAAATTTGTACTGAGGGCAGAAGCATTGTTTAACTAGTTTATTGGAGGGAAAATACTGTTGGGTCTTCTCAAGATTTCTCATTTTGTTTCAAAAGCAAGTGTTAAGGGGGGGGTCTTTTTTTTTCTTAACCAAAAAAATTATGTTTGGTATTCAGGGAAAAGGGGGCAGGGACTCTTCTGCCTTGTCCCTGTTTTAAAAGCCTGAAAATTAGGAAGTGAGAGCTAGGTGTGCAAATAGCTGTGATGTATAATGTATGTGGTATCTTCCTAAGATATTCATGCTACGTCATAAAGGGACACCTTACTACTGGATTGGCCTTTGGAAGGAAACAAAGCATCGCTGGAGATGGACCAATGGCACCATATTCAATGGCCTGTGAGTCTGCTCATCCTATTCACTTTCTCAGCATGAGGGAAGCAAATACCTGTGTAACAGCTTGGGCCTTCCCTGCTGGAGCTAAGGGTCCTGGGCTGTTTGGCTTTGTAATAGGGGCCTTTACCCTGTCACTTGAAGCAAGAAAGAAGAGCTGGGTTAGTAGCTGCTATATGGGACTAAGCAGCCAGGTAACAGCAGGAGCAGGAGGCTTACATGGGCTAAGGGGAAGCACCTGAGCAGGATGGAAGAGCCATGTGACTGGAGGGCTGGTGCCCAGGGACTGCAAGCTCAGCTCCAGCATGGGAGCGGAAGGTTTGGCCCTGCCCTCTGCAAAGAGAGGAGCTTCAGGCAGGAGATGGGCCTGCAGGCATCTCCACTACTCCATCAGGGTGGAAGGAGACAGCCAAGATGAGAACATGAAGGGCTGTGGGACAGTGAACCAAAATGGGCTTGATCTTAGTTGGAAGCAGTTTGCTTGTATCTTGGTTTATGTTTATAACTGAGGGACCAGATAGTAGCCATAGGGCAGGTTTGGAGACAATTAAGGCCTCTCTAACGCTGCCTCATAGCCATGCTCATGCCTCACAGGTGTCACTCCACCATTACTTTCATGGGATTTCCCATGTTGTCTGCACGCTCTGCCCCTTGGGCTCTAACCCCTCTGTCTAAGCCTCAGGTTTCTTCCAGCCTTGGCCCCATGACTCTTGCTGAGGCCCTCAGCCCTGGCCCACTCCCTCAGGCTTTGACTCCTTGACCCCAGCCCCATCACATCCCTGTCCCATACACAGCTCAACACCGAGTGCCTGCTTGACACCTTGCTGCATTAATGCCCCAAAGGCTGCTTGGTGCCAGAGGGCATGGATAGAGTCAGTAGGGCCCAATCAGCTAGGTCATGTGGATCCAGGGGACACAATCAGGGACTTTCAGGAGGGAAAGCACACTCAGGGAGGGAAAGTACACTCAGGAAGGAAAGTACACTCTCCTTCGGGGCACAGCTGCATGTCAGTGAGCAAGTTTCATAGTAGCTAGGGTCAGGAGGGACCTGAACAGATCATCTTGCCTGACCCCCTGCCACAGGCAGGAATGAATGCTGGCTTCACAAGGCCTCAGACAGGTGATCATCCAACATCCTCTTGAATTTGCCCAAGGTAGGGGCGAGGACCACTTCCCTGGGAAGTTGTTTCCAGATTCTCACCACCCTAACTGTAAAATATTGCCTCCTGATCTCTAACCTAAACCTATTCTCCATCAGCTTATTACCATTGTTCCTCGTCACCGCAGGTGGTGCTGGGGAGAAAAGGGCTCTTCCTATTTGCTGTTGATCTCCCCTGATGAGCTTGTAGGCAGCCACCAGGTCCCCCCTCAGCCTCCTTTTGCTGAGGCTGAACAGGTTCAGGTCCCTCAGTCTCTCCTCGTAGGGCCTGTCCTGCTGCCCTCTCTCCAAGCGGGTGGCCTGAACCCTCTCCAGGCCGGCCACATCCTTTTTAAAGTGCAGTGCCCAGTACTGGACGCAGTACTCCAATTGCGGCCTGACCAAAGTCGCATAGAGGGGGAGGATCATCTCTCTGGACCAGCTTGAGATGCATCTTTGGATGCATGACAAGATGCAATTGGCTTTGCTGGCTGCGGTCTGGCATTGGCGGCTCATGTTCATCTTGGAGTCAGTAATGACTCCAAGATCCCCTTCTGCCTCTGTGCTTTCGAGAGGGGAACTCCCCAGCCTGTATGTGTGCTGTGGATTCCTTCTCCCAAGGTGCAGCACCCTGCATTTGTCTACGTTGAACCCCATCCTATTCTCATCTGCCCACTTTTGTAGTCTGTCTAAATCTAGTTGCAGCCTCTCTCTCCCTTCAAGTGTGTCCACCTCGCCCCACATCTTAATGTCATCAGCAAACTTGGACAGTGTGCTTTCCACCCCCTCGTCCAAGTCGCTGATGAAGATGTTAAACAGTGCAGGCCCGAGGACCGAACCCTGGGGTACCCCACTGCCCACATCTCGCCAGGTTGAGTACAACCCATCCACCACCACTCTGGGTGCGCCCCATCAGCCAATTTTTGACCCATCCAACTGTGCAGGCATCAATGCCACAGTCACTTAATTTATTGACGAGGATGGGGTAAAAGACAGTGTTAAAGGCCTTCTTAAAGTCTAGAAAGACTACATCCACAGCAACACCATCATCCAAGGTTTTAGTTACTTGGTTGTAAAAGGCAATCAGGTTGGTCTGGCAGGACCTGCCTTTGATGAACCCATGCTGATTGCCCCTGAGCATGATCTGCCCTGCAGGCCCCCCTCGGATGTGCTCCTTGTGACCCTGAAGACTTGAGGAAGGAGGGTAATTTGGTCACTGGAGGGTGTTACAGCCACCCTCAGAAGCAGGTCCTGTCACAGGTTTCCAGCTGGAGAAAATTCCTAAGCCTCCTTTGATGGGTCAGCCATTGAAGGGGGATATCCCTCTCCCCTTCCTCTCCCAACACACAAGTCCCATTTTCCCCCTGCCCTGATCGGAAGGACCTACAAGAAACTTGCTACATTCGGTTCCCTGCGTGGAACAGGCCAAAGTTTCAAACACTGATTACCTACCTGGCCACTTGTTTTCCAGCCAGAAGTGACTTGCTGAAGGAGGTCACGCAGGTAGGGCACATCTACATTGCCACATAGTTCTGTTCCCAGACTCAACCTCTCACCCACATTAACTGCCCACCCCCACTAGGAGCTCCCATCTCCCCTGCCCCATCAGCCCTCCAGTCTGCTCAGAGAAGCCCTCCTGGCTGTTGGGGGCTGAGGTGAAACTTCTCTGCAGCTCTCATCTCCCTGCAGCAAGTTCATGACTCCCTTGGGCACTGAGGGGCCTAGAAATCAGTCAGCGTCCTAGCCAGCTGTACCATCAACAGCCCAGCAAGGGAACACGGCTGGTGCAGGGCATTTGACTGGGGGTAATATGCCAAAACAAAGGCATAGATATTCCCATAACTGTGACTTTGGGTTCAAACCCAGATGCTGAGTCCTAGCCTGTTCCCCTGAGGCTGTTGCTCTGTACATGGCTGGGAAGGGCGTCATCTTTGCAACACAACCCCACTGCTGTCGTTGCAGGTTTCCAATCAGAGGAGAGGGGGACTGTGCCTATGTGAATGATGATGGTGTCAGCAGCTCCAGGTGCTCCTCAAAGAGGAACTTCATCTGCAGCCAGCCAGATAATTGTGCCAGAGGAAAGCCAAGCACCCTGATGGAAGACACAGCACCATATGTGATGTGAGGGACCAGTACAGAGTGTCCTGAGAGCCTGCAGTCTGTGCCCTGGTCATCCTGCCTCCGACCCCTGCTGAGAACCTCAGTGACAAGGCCTGTAAACCATAATTTGCTACAAAGTGACCTCCTTGCCAGGCTGCTCATTAGTCCTTTTTTAATAAAAACAAAAAAATTCATCATGCCTTTAATAGAAGCATGTGATCCACACAGCTCAGACTTTAACCCCTCTGTTTTCATTGCATCATTAAGAGCAATTTTCCAGCTCTTGTGAGTACAAAGAAAATCTTCTCGATGCAGATGTATCCTGTGCCTGCTGAGAGCCTGAAACACTAATAAGAAAATTGTCTTTTCATCTAACTGCTGTGAGGTCTCCAATCAGGACCATGGTGCTGTTGTTGAGAAGGAACCTGGTGTTTCATGAGTCTCCTGTTCTGACCCTGCCTTTTCTATCCAAAATATTTAGTGTAATTTATCTAAAAAATTTGTTTGCATTAATTTTATATGTCAGCAGTCAAAAAAAGGGAAGGAGGCTAAGAGACCACTTGAATCAGCAGGGACATTAGGGAACTTCTCAAAAAGAACAAAGAAGTGTACATGTACTGGAAAAATGGTTCACGATCCAGAGAGGAGTAAACTCATATGGTCAGGGTCTGCAGGTATGAGACAAGGAAAGCCGAGGCATGCATGGAGATCAAGCTGGCATCCAGAATAAAAGACAACAAAACATCCTTCTATAGGTACATAGAAAGCAAGAAAAAAAAATCAAGCTCCACTGTGGGACCCTACTGAATACGGAGGGGAAAGCCCACAGTTGATCCCCATGAAAAGCCAGAGCTCCTAAATACTTACTTTGCATCAGTATTCTTGAAATCAAATGGGAACTCATCACCTGTCCAGAGGCCCAAAGAATATGCTGATGACAGCAGTCCACATAAAATCAGTCCTGAACAGGTGAAGGTACTCTTAGACCGTATGGCTGTTTTCAAGTTGGCTGGGCCAATTGACCTTCATCTGGCAAGGCTGTTTGAAGAGTTGTGGAATTCAGGAATGGTCCTGAATGACTGAAAGAAGGCTAATATTGTGCCTATCTTTAAGAAAGAAAAGAGGGATGACCCTGCAAACTATAGACTGGTCAGTCTGACTTCAATCCTGGGAAAAATCTTCAAAAAAATTGTCAAGGAGGCTTTCAACCACAAGCTCATAACTGATGGGGTACTGAGAAACAACCAGTATGGCTTTGTCAAGGGGAGGTCATGCCTAACGAACACAGTGTCTTTTTATGATCAGGTAACTAACCAGCTGGACATGGGACAGGAGGTGGACGTCATCTACTTAGACTTCAGCAAGGCCTGTGATATTGTTTCCCATGAGATCCTCCTAATTAAGTTGGAGGGTGCTGGCCTGGACCAGTCAACAGTGAGGTAGGTTAACAGCTATCTCAGAGGCTGATCCCAGTGAGTTGTAATCAACGGGATGGCCTCATCCTGGAGGGATCAGTGCTTGGGCCCATGCTCTTTAACATCTTTATCAATGACCTGGATGAGGGAGTAGAAAGTGCAATGCTTACGTTTTCAGATGACACCGAGCTGTGTGGAAATGCAGGCACATCTGATAGGGCAAGGATCCAGAATGACCTTGACAGGCTGGTCCTATGGGCTGAATGTAAGCAGATGAGGTTCAATAGGGACAAGTGCTGGGTCCTTCATCTGGGTAGGAAGGACCTTCACCACAACTATACTATTGATGGTGGTCCACTGGCTGACACCTCATGTGAAAGGGGCCTGGGAGTTACAGTCAACCAAAGGATGAATATGAGCCACCAGTGTAACGAAGTCACCAAAATGGCAAATAGAGCTGTGGCGTGTATCAGCCAATGTGATACCAGTAGATCCAGAGAGGTGCTACTCCCCCTCTATTTGACATTGGTGAGGCCACAGCTGGAGTACTGTGTCCAGTTCTGTGCACTGCACTTCAAGAAGGATGTGGATAAGCTTGAAAAGGTGCAGAGAAGGTGTAACAGGGGACCTGCTCAGGGCTGCTTTCCCTGCAGCCTGCCCACCTGTTCCTGGGCTAACAACCCATGTTCTCATCCACCACACCTTGTTGTTAATATTTTATTATAGATTCATAGATTGTAGAGTCAGAAGGGACCACAATGGATCATCGTGTCCAACACCCTGCCCCTGGCAGGAAACAGGACCGAGGTCAGATGACTCCAGCCAGGTGGCTATCTAGCCTCCTCTTGAAGACCTCCAAGCTAGGTGAGAGCACCACCTCTCTTGGAAGCCCATTCCAGATCCTGGCCACCCTTACTGTGAAACATTTCTTCCTAATATCCAACCTAAGTGGGGAGCCGGAGGAAAAGCAGGGGCAACATTGG